CCCCCCCCCAAGTCGAAACCCTGGCCTCTATTTCATTCCTTCATGTCTTAATCAATAAGCCTTAAAATAACCATTATGCAAATAAACTATGAACTTATGAAATAAAATAGGGGATACCTCAGTCATTGCTCAAAACCCACTAGAAAAGTCTAGAGAAATAGAGCATTGTGCTCCTCATTGGTCCCCGAAAAAGACCAAGTCCTAGTCTATATGCCTAAATGCAATCCTACATGGCATGTTATAAAGCAAGTACTTTAATAGAAATAAGTGCAATACTAATATCTAAATGATGTATGGGCATGTTAAGAGGAACAAGTAAACTAGCATTCCTACATGATGTATGGGAACATGAACATAATCATAAAGGAGGAAGAAATGTAAGTAAGAAGATGCAATTCTACATGATGCATGAGCATGTGAGAGGATGCAAGCAAATAACCAAATAGACAAAGGAGACTACTCCTAATAACCAAGTTTATTTTGGGCAGTGTTGTAATTGTGTTCTGGTTTTTGGAGAGTTAAGAGTGTTTACCTCTCCCTTTGTACTTTATTGTACCTGTCTTTTAATCTTAATGAACTTATCAGCTATTGATAAGAAAAAAAAAGGAGACTACTCCTAACCAAGTGAGCAAAAAATGAATGATTAAAGGGGATTGGGGAAAATAAACAATGTGGAGAATTATGACTAAAGGGACTCTCCATATTCATTGGATCATATTAGAACCGTATGGGTATGAGCCAATGCACGGCTAATCCAAAACTATGCAAGCATAAAAGAAATACAAGGACCAACTTGAACGCTATATTCCCAAATTCCAAGACCATGAATTGGAACTACACAGACATAGACCTCTCGCAAGTTGAGCCTTGAACTGTGTTAGAGTTAGCCGAATAAGGGTAGATTAATCAACTCACCTTTGTTAAGTTATGTGCTTATGTGGCAGTCTTATTAGAGACTCTCTGTCCCATACTTAAGTGGGGGCAGTTTAGTCTTTGTACAATTAATTAGAGCCTAATCACTATTAAGAGGTCGACTGATAGGGTTTAGTCTATCAGGTTTGACAGTTCTTTCATCTTCTTCTACTTCTTCTTCTTCTTCTTCTTCTTCTCCTTCTCTTTCTTCTTCTCCTTACTGGTTCGGACTACTGTAGCAGCAGTCGAAACATGGTATCAGAGCAGGGTTCGTGACCTGCTTCAGTTCGTGACAACTTTAGTTCGTGCTTCAGTTCTCTCCTTTTCTTTTCTGGGCTGTCAATGGAGAAAACTGGTTCGTCCTAGGCCTGAAACATCTCAACTCTTCTTTCTCTCTGGTGCGCAGAACCTCATTTCTTAAGAAAACGACTTCAGCAGTGAATGGTTGGCTGAAGCTCTCAAAAGAAGGTTGGTTATCTCTTTTCTTTGTGCTGTTGGTATTTCTGGGTTGAAAATCTTCAAGAACCTGCGAGGACTGATCAGAACCTAGAGAACTAGGTTGGTTGTTGCCCTGGTTCTTGGAAAAAATTCCAAGAACAGGTTGTGTTTACAGTGACGGAATGGTGTAAGGGCTGCTGTAGGTGGCCAAATGGTGCAAGGTGTAATGCAGTGGCACTAGTTGAGTTCTCTTTGGTCTTGTAGTGCCCTCTTAAAAGTGTTAGACAGGTCTGTACCGTGTGTGACAGCTATGGCTGTGTGGTGGTGCTTGTTATGCACAATCTCTATTGAGTAGTTATAAGAGGGCTTGCATGTGGTTAGTAAGTGCTGAATTAATGTCGGTATGGTTCGTGGTTTTGTGAAATCAGTAGTGGTGTGGACAAGAACAAAGGCTTGTGTATCTATCATTGTGTTTAGGGACTGTTGTAGGTTCTGGAACATCAAACTCCTGACAACAGYACTTAGTTGGTGACTGGGAATTCAGATTAGAGGCAGCATTGAAAGAGTATCATGGCAGCAATGGGAGATGACTGTAATGATCAGAAACCTAGTGTGGTGGTTTCCTCTGACTATCTAGGTGTACAAATGACCTCAATTAAACTGAATGGTGAGAACTATGTTCTATGGGCCAAGTCAGTGGAAGTTCTTCTCAAGGCAAAGAGGAAAGTGAAGCGTGTGAAAGAAGATAAACCACCGGCTGACACTCCAGGGTTTGATGATTGGGAACA